CCTTCCACGCAAAGGAGAGTCCCATCCGGACACGGGACGAAGTCTTCTATCTTGTATCTTCACAGTCCAATAGTCCGGCCAAAGTATATAGTCCGGCTGTCCGAGGACCCCTTAGTCCAGGACTCCCTCACTCATGATTTTGTGTCACAACTTATTCTTTCCAGATAAACTAAAAACATGCACCAGATGCATTGTTGCATTGATAGATAAATAAAAATGATTTGCGCAAACCTCGTAGCTTGACAAGAATCCATGGGAAACTTCTATATGAGGCCCTGGCTTCTGTTGGATTGCTTCATTGTGGACACCAAGTTCGCCACAATGTCTTGAGCACCGGGAGACCTTCATTCTCGCCACACCGTGTGTTTTTCCTATATTTATAGATTTCTTGCAGAATGACAAACTGTGTTTCTCGCTGGAGACCAAAGGGCGGTGTGGCGTTGAAGAACCACCCATTTGTTTAAGTTTTCCTGGTTTGATACGAAGTGTTTCATTCCTGGTGTCTGCTATTCTCGAGCTAAACTAGCATCTCCTCTTATGTTTCCTCTTTTGTGCATTGTTGCTATTAACGGATGTCACAGCAAATTAGTTATGTGGTGAAACTTAATGACTCGTGAAACATGAAGGGAACCACTCACCCCATAGGTTGTTTATATACACATATCCTTATATATGAGTTGTAAGACATATAAGGTGGTTGGTGATACTATTTATCACCGGACCATTTTTTACTACCTCCGTTTCAGTTTACAAGTCCTACACGTATACCTAGGTTGCCAATTTTATCACCCTAATATAAACTATATAACACAAAAATTATACCTTTTGAAAGTAGAAACTCCGAAGTTTATGTTGGTATATTTTTTGTAATATATGACTTGTATTAAGTTGGTTAAATTGAAGACCTAGGGGTACGCGCACGCTCTGTAAACCGAGAGAGAGGTAGTAGATTTTTTTACGCAACATAACCAATGCTTAGTTTAGGCTTATGCTCATTGCTTTGAATTTGAGAAGTTGCCGAGAGAGCTTGCACTGCAATTGGGCATGAACACATTGGTGGTAGAGCTTGAGAAGGGAGGTGAAGGTGCGGAGGAATATATGATGGTGAGCACGCCTGGCACTCAAGCAGGTTAGAGTGCACGACCACAGTCAAGGTGGTCGGACGCGACATATGCAAAATAGTTTGTTGCTTAAAGTTACCAACTTAATTATAAAATTAGGTGTAATTTGTGTAACTTTTTTAGGACTATTCACCTCCTCTATGTCCTTAGACACTCGACTCCGTCAATGTGCAAACATGCTACCTGAACATACAACGATGTACGGAAATTATCCATCTTAAAATACAACAAGTAAAATGTTTTGAATTCCATTACGCTAAATAGTTTACAACCATTTAATAATCAAATATAATAAATAATATATTTTTCAGCTTCAGTTAATTATTAATCTACATATCTGTAAGCTATTTTTTTGGCTATACAACCACGTTTTAACTGATTCCACACCAATTGCGCAATCTAGTTTATAAGATGTACTAGTACAGTTGCAAGATAGGGCTGCATGCAGAGTAGGGCATTTTGGAGAACAAGCTCCACGAATGCCTTAATTTTAAAAAATAAATTAAATTTAATTATTTCAGTTAAATTTTTTTCTAAAAAAATACACATGTATACAAGGATGTGATGTGTATGTGTAGATTTCAGAATGAAATACCTTGAATTGCGAGCTGCAAAAAAAAAATCATGGACTTTAGGAACGAATAGTACATACTAGAGAGCCTTCATGAAGTTCGGTCTAGTTTGGCATTTTCCTCTGCATTGATCCCTATATTACTCGACATTACAAATTTTGTCCACCGAAGCTTTTCTTCTTTGTCCACCACAATCGGAATTCTCAGGTGTACTACTCACCCTACACTGGGGTTCAAACCAACTCCTCGCTGACAGCCGCTGGCATGCTAGTATTTGAAGATTGCGTCGCTGTTGTACGACTGGTCGACGACCCAACAGTGGTGGTGGTGTCACTGTACTCCATGGTGGAAGCTGCGAAAGGCTGCAGGTACACGGCCACCGGCATCTTGGGCGGCAGCACCGGCATCCTGAACTTCCTTGACTGCAGCGCCTCGGCGGCCTGCCTGATCGCCGGCCTCATCTTGGGGTCAGGGTGCGCCGCCCACAGCCCGACCGCCAGCACCCTCTCCACCTCCCACTGGTCGAACACGCCACCAAGACGCTCGTCAGCGGCGTCGAGGGCGGCGCTCCTTCCATAGAGGTCCCACGCCCACTCCAGCAACCGGAACACCTGGCCGTCCTTGGCACCGTCTCTCGGCGGCGCCATCGGCCGCCGCCCGCACACGATCTCCAGCAGGGTGACGCCGAAGCTGTACATGTCGGACTCGGTGGACGCCTTGCCGGTGATGACGCACTCCGGGTCGAGGTAGCCCGGGGTGCCCGCCATGCCGGTCATCGTCTGCAAGCTCATGCCGTGGTCGATGAGCCGGGAGAGACCGAAGTCGCCTAGGTTGGTGCTGAAGAACTCATCCAACATGATGTTGCTCGGTTTAATGTCGCCGTGGACGACGCATTGATCCCATTCTTGGTGGATGGAGGTACAGCACGGCAGACGCCAATCCAAGAATTATCTGGTATCTGATAATAACAAAAGTAAAGGCACAATCAAGTAGAATCAGATTTGATCCAAGCACTCCGACTCAGTTTCGAACGACTAGTGTCTCTAGTTCGCCACTGTCCATCGACCGAGAATTTAGGTCTCAATGGACTCAAAGGTACGTACAAAAAGATATAGTTCAACTAATATGAATTTTGCTCCGTGCATCTTGATTATGCAGAGGTCGAATGTTGCTCATCATGCATTGTATCTGTAATGCTACATTTTGTGTTAATAATATCGTCCTCCAAAAAAAATGATACGAAGAGTGAGTCCAAAATTAGTCTCATTTTAGTCAAGATACGAAATCAAGTTAAGAATACGACTGACATGTACTAGCTCCAAGCAAAGCATGCATACCTAACTTGCCATGTCAGAACCTCTTGTTTGCCGTAGAGGTAGCCATCGAGGCTGCCGTTGTGCACGAGCTCGTAGACCAGCAGCAGCCGCCGGCGGCAATGGCACCAGCCGATGAGCTGCACAAGATTCCGGTGGCGCAGCCTGCTGATGATGGTGACCTCCGACCTGTACTCCTTCCTCCCCTCCGAGGACGCCCCCCGAGAGAATACCTTGATGGCGACATCGCGGCCGCCGAGCTCTTTCATGTGGCCCCGGTACACCGACCCGGACCCGCCCTGCCCCAGCTTCCCTTCCTCCGCGAAGTTCCTCGTCGCCGCCGCCAGGTTAGCGTACGGGATGGGCCGGGGCCCCGCGCTGGAACCGAACTCGTCGTCGTCCATGTCGAGGGAGTCCGGAGTCATGTCGCCGGCGAGCATGTCTTTGTCGTCTGGCTGCCTGTTTCTCGTGCTTGCACGCCGGAGCAGCACCGCGACGGCGACCCCGAGCAGGAGCACAAGGAAGGCTGCGGCGGCAACCCCGGCACTGAACTTGGCTGACCAGATAGACAGGGGAGCCGTGCCGTTCCTTGTCGGAGCGTGGACTGGAAGGAGCATGAGAGCACCGTGTGATTGCTGCCGTACGCTGCGCCAGTGGCCGCCGAGAAGCCTATGGAGACCTGCTCCGGCAGCAAGCGTCGCAAGTCGATGGTGGCGGACAGGTTGTAAGTGGTGCCACCGACGCTGAGGAAGACGTCCAGCCTCGTCGTGGCGCTGTCGTACTTCACCGTCGAAGACATCACGCCGGCGTCGACAAGGCTGGTGTCTGGCAAGATCATGAAGTTGCCGCGTGAGTCGATGTTGTTGACGTCTACGCCGATGTGCCGGCTGCTGGGGTCCCACGCGTCGCGGTGGGTCTCGAACTCGACGGCGACGAAGCTGGCCTTGCCGGACGCGTTCGCCAGGTGCGCCGTCTCGTCGAAGAGCCCAAGGCAGCCCTCGTAGGACTCCTGCGGCATTTCGGGCATGTAGGGCGCAAGGAAGAACGCCATGCCGTGCCCAGGGGCGCCTCTCCGGCCATCCAGCAGAGGCAGAGACTGGATGGTGAAGTTGAAGGTGGCGGTGAAGCTGGCCGCCTCGCCCGTGGCGCCGTCCCAGAGCTGCACCGCCGGCTTGTACAGAGCGCGGCCCCTTGCTCGACAGCCGGCGACGTTCTTGTCGCCGAGGAGGTCAATCCTGCCGTCGATGATCTTCGCGTCGTCCTCCGCTCTGAAAGAGTCGTGGTCGAACGAGACAGCGGTCGCGTGGTGGACCCGTGCACAGAGGAGCAAGAAGAAGCACAAGCGGAGCTTCAGCACAGCCATTGCTGTAGTAGTTCTGAGCTCTGGTGGTGAACTGGCGCAATAGCAGCGCACACTCTAGCATGCCCACCTTTTCTAATCCTCGACATTGGGCAGCCATTGATGGACGTTTTCCAAACTAGATGGCATGGCCATGGAAGTCTGCACCACTGTAAGCGACATCTTAGGATCAGGACAAAACATACTGTGCGTACACGAAGGTTCAGGGACAGTGGCAAGTGGACTAGCATGCGGACCAAATCCTTCGTTGCGCCGACTGGTCCGGCCGATCGATCGGCTTCATCTTATCAAGTTTCTACGGAGAGTCCATTTTCGTCTTTGTTGTTAGGCCAGCCCCTGTCGCCAAGTACTTTTCGACGACACGCGAGGCGACGACGATGACAACACGCGTTGACGTGATCCCGACGATCCAAGACGAAGTTCGTTTATGCCGATGGAGATGCGCCACACTGCGATGGTAGCCAACGCACTTGTAGCCGGAGCAGAACGTCCATTCGACACTACCAACGCACGCCAACACTTGATTTGGATAGCCATTGGGGCGTTTCGTTCCCGTTGTTTACTTTACTTTGCGTCGAATGATATACGATGAAAAAACGGTCACCAAAACATAATTAAAACCCAAGCCAGTGTAGATAAATCAAAACAAAATAACCAACCACAATAAACTGCTAGAGAAAAAAAAAGACACTCCATCGGTGAAGAACGGTGCGACAAAGATATATTCTTAACCTGGCACCTCCTAATGCATATGTTGATCACTCATCTGAATTGATCTGGTAATACTATATCCCAACCGAATGAATATGCTTATTGATTGAACTCCACTCTAGTTTTTAAAGCATCTACAACTGGACTCCTCATATATCCGCCCCAAACGCCCGAACGAGTTGCCCGGTCAGCGTTCGCATGCTGGCAGGCATGATTTGGCGTTTGGGTGAGGTTCCGGCAGAAACCCCTGCCCGTCGCGGCGCCACCCAAAGTCGACGCCTTTGGTACTGATCCCCTTCCTGGAGGCTTTGGGGTGGTCCCCCTCCCTCCCACCTCCGTCTTGAGCTTGGGGGAAGCTCGTATTCCCCTGGTCTGGCCGTCTGACGGTACCTTGGTGGCAAGCTCGTTTTTTAAGGCGGCGGACAAGATTTGCTCTTGGTGGCGGAGCGGTTGGTGTCTTGGTTCCGAAGCATGACGGCCTAGTCTTCCTGCTACATCGTGCTCGGCTTCGCCCATTGCTTAGTGATGCCCCCTTGGGTCTTCTTCATGGATGCGCGCCTTCGTTCGACAGCTCGCGTCTCGTGCTCCGTGCTGCCACTCCCGGTTATGGTTCTCGTTTGGTTAGTCTTTCGTTGTTCGTATGTCAACTCCATGTACTTCTCCTATGGCAGCTTGATCACCTTGAGATGGGCTCTGTGGTAGCCACTCTGCTGGTCGACGATACGACATCCATCGAGCCTGGGTGAAAGGGTACTGGCCCTTTGCGACGGTGTAGACAACTCAAGTGTTGCTGAAGTATGGCCTATGGATGTAGCCAACACTCGATGCTTGCACGACGTGGCCCTCCTCCTGTGCACTTAGTTGGCTAGTTGGTGTTGGCGTACTGCTGGTCATCGGCAACGGTGCTCCAACTGTTGCCATTGTGCTGTTCTGCCTAGTGCCTTGTATCTTCCTTTTCACTTTGCTTTGCATTCGTTTCCTTTGTAATGTGGTGCCCCAATAATACTGGCCGGTTGATGACTTTATTAATTCAAAGTCGGGCTAGGTTCGAGCTCTTCTCGGGTTCGGCCGGCGCCTTTTCTCTAAAAAAAGTAACAGCTAAGCCTATAAATGCATTCATGGTCTCTCGCCGGTAAATTGGAACACACCAATAACGTTCTCCACCAACTCAATCACCATCCTACACCGACAGGTCCTCAGAGACCAAGGACCTGAAGTGCCACGAGGCAGCGATATGCCTGCCAGGAGCGCCACAGCCCCCCCCCCCAGGCTTGTGGGCCCCTCGTGGCACTTCCCGACCTAATTCCAGCTCTGTAAATACCTAAATATTCCCAATACATCAGAGAGCCACCTGAAACCCTTTTTCCGCCACCGCAAGTCTCTGTTCTCGCGAGATCCCATCTGGAGGCCTCTCCAGTACTCTGCCGGAGGGGAGATCGATCACGGAGGGGATCTACATCAACCTTGCTGCCCTTTCGATGATGTGAGAGTAGTTTACCACAGACCTACGGGTCCATAACTAGTGGTTACATGCCTTCTTCTCTCTCTATGGTCTTCAATACAATGTTCCCCTTGATGTTCTTGGAGGTCTATTCGATGTCATCTTTTTTACGGTGTGTTTGTTGAGATCGATGAATTGTAGGTTTATGATCATATTATCCATGAATATTATTTGAGCCTTTTCTGAATTCTTATATGCATGATTATTATAGCTTTGTATTTCTCTTATATGAATTCTTATTTGGCGATGAGACGTACCCATGCACATGCATGCAGGTAGATTGGGGTAGTAGTAGTGCTACATGCACGTACTTTTCCATGTTTTTTCTACAGTACCTTCCCTACTTGGGCTTTTTTCATGCCTGTATTCTCCTCTTGCTAATCAAACGAATTTGGCAAATCTCCTACCAACATTCAAGGAAAAAAAAACAATCACCTGACAACGACTCAAAGGAATCCATGAACTACACACTTGTTATAATATCCTGGTTACATTGCACGTATCTCCACATTTGTCTCTTATGTTCCTACATAACTTCATCATAAAGAAACTATCATCCATCAGGTAGGAGAGCAGAGAATGGTGCGGCGTTGAACCATCGCTGATTGGAGCAAGTTTCTTCGGTCTGATCCAAAGTGTTTCATCCCTGGTGTCTCCTATTCTCAAGCTAAGCTAGCATCTTCTCTTTGTTTTGTCTTGCATTGTTGATATTAGAGGGTGTAATGGGAAAATGTGTTATGTGGTGAAACTCAGTGACTCGTGAAGCATGAAGAGAACCACTCACCCCGATGGTTGCATGTATATATGGACAAGTATATGAGTTGTAAGCCATATAAAGTGTGGTTGGTGGAACTATTTATCAGCAATCGATTTTATGAGATGTTTCTTAAAAGAACGTAGCTAATGATGTATATATTGAGGGCAAGGGTCACCTTTTCTTTTACGTTTAGTGCAAACTTACGCTTGTCGTTT